ACCAGAAGTTGGCAGAAGTAATGAAGGATCCTCCCAAGAGGGAGGATGGCCCTGCCAACACCTAGATTTGGAACTTCAGGCCTCTAGAACCATGAGAGAATAAATTTTTGTTGTTTCTAACCCGTTGGTGGTATGGCAACCCTAGGAAACTAACACATCTTTTCAGAGCCTCATATTTTTCACTCCTATCTGGAATGTTGCACTTCTGACTCTTTCTCACTCTTTAGGGCTAGCTTCTTTATCTCTGACTGAGGTCAAGCATTTAGTTTTATACAATGTTTGGCTCATTTCTAAAATTATAAAACCAGAGGGATTTATTGAAAGGCCTCTACCTGAGAATTTGTATTTAATTTTACCAAAAGCAAATTTGCTGAATGGTTAATTTTATTGATAATTTTAATGACTGTGAAAGCTATAATTTAGAGATGGCAGAGATGTTTCAAAACAATATAGGCCAAATATCTAAACTGACCTACATTGCTTTGTTCTTAACTAAGTACATTTAATAAGATAAAGTGAATATACATATACCATTGAATATACCAACTACAAAGGCATTGGTAATTTTAATAAGAGAAATTTCAGAGAAAGGGTAGGGAACAAAAGCCTAAAATTCTGAAATCTCTGTGAATTAAAAATGCACAAAATTAAAATGCAGTAGAAAATCAGGAAAAATAAGTACAAATTATTATGGTGATAAACAGCTATACTTAATATAATAAAAGGTCTTAAAATCAATATAAATATAACACAATAGAAAAATTAACAAAGGACATAAGTAGAAAATTTATAGAAGAAAATAAGTGACCAATAAATATATAAAAGATCAAATTCACACCTTAATTAAAAATTAAAATAATACCAATGTAAAATTAGCAAAGATTTATTTTAAAGATAATACCTTAACCCCCCAAAAAGAAGAGTATTGTTAAACAAATGGTCTACAACATTACTGACAAGAATTTGAATTGACACAATCTTTTCCTGTCCTTTAGCCTCTTCTACCAACCCCCTTCCCTCCTACCCTCTGGTAACCACTAAACTTTTGTCTGTGTCTATGAGTTTTTGTTCCTTTATTTGTTTGTCTTGTTCCTTTG